CGTGCGTTGCAACGGGTGAAGGCTATCTTAATCTTATTATTGTTATATGTTTTATTTAAGATGAAATTCACTGTTAAATTCGCTTGGATATATATTTTGTTAGAAAATCATCACCTGCAATTATGAATCCGATCGTCTCAAATAAGCATACGAGTTGTTTAAAGAGATTTCCTATACAATTCCTTTTGTATTTCCAAAAGCGAACAAATTTAAAAACCGACTCAAATACGGATTTGTATTTCTAAAAGCGAACGAACTTAAAAAGATTCATACACGGATGACGTACCAAAGTATCGGTAAAAACATCTTTAATTTTTGTAATAGTAGAAAAAGTCTGTGCTCTGGTTTCACGTCGACGCGTTGTCATCGTGCAGACAAATGACCAATAATACTCTCTACGTAGTACTCCTCCCTCCGTCCTAAATTATAAACCACATATATTTTGATCTTTAATTTATTAATTTATTTTTCGTATGGTAGTATAAAATTAGAAGAAAAAATAAACTAGAAATGGGATAAGCGGGAAAAAAAAAAAGCCCGCTTACCAGCCACGCTTGCATCCCTACTGATTAGGCATTGTAGCTTTGCGGAGGAGGCCGAAACTATGCCTGTCAGGAGGGTATTCAATGGATTAATCTCCGGATGATTCTGGAGACAGATTGTGCTAATGTAGCACATGCCCTTGGGCCATCCACAATGGGTGTCCCTGGGTCGTCTTCCTAGGAACGGTCGTTCCCTTTTCCGTCAGCACCATCCTCCCGTGATGGAACACGTCCCTCTGCTGGGGGACGCGTTTCTCTCCGCGCCTTGCCAGCTTTTCGTGGGGAGTCGCTGCGTTGGGGGCTTGGGGCGCTCGTGGACACGGCTACTGCACCTGCGATTTCCCCTTCTACCCTCGACCTCATCGCTGGGAGGAGGCCGACGGCGGTGGGGAGGAACCCGAGGCGGCTGCGAGAGAGAGAAAGAGGCGACGGTGACGGCGATGACCGCGCCGCTGTCGCCACCGCTTGAGGCGCCCGTGCTCGCCACCGAGGACCATGAGGACGACGTCGTGGTGGTGGTCGCCGCCGTCGCGACCTCCTCCGCCTTGGCCTCCTCCGCGCGATGGCGAGAGAGAGTGGAGAAAGCGGCGGCGGCGGTGGCGGCTGGGGAGGGTGATGAGGGAGATGGCGCCGGCGCTCGCGGGAGGGAGAGGGAGGGGAAGGACGGCGACGGCGCCGAGCGGAGGGAGTGAATCGCGGCGGTGGGAGCGAAGAAAAAAGAGGAGGTATAGTGTTGCTCATGAGTTGGCTCAACTTTCTCTGAGAACGAAACAATGCGTGGTTTGGCGATTCCAAGCTTCTCCCTGTGTGTCTGAGGTCCTAGCTCGCGAATGTTTTTTAATCTTTCTAAGGAGCAATATATTTTCCTTTTTCCTCATAAAAAATCACATGAAAGTATTTTAAAATATAAATTTAGTGACATAACATGTATAGTACTTAATATAGATATGGTTAATATAATTATTAGTTAAAAAGTTATCGAATTTGATTTTTCTAAAACAACAAAGATGCATTATAACTTGAGATGGAGGGAGCACTATATACATAGTACTTCATCCGTTTTCAAAATAAGTTCATTTTTTCACATCTCATACATCTTAATAATTGATATAAACCAAAAGAATGTAATACTCTTACTTTATCATATGTCATTGTAATTATTTATCTTGTTATGTACTCCCAATGTATATACTTTCACAAATTTCTATGTAATGAAAAATAAACTTATTTTATTTTAGGGATTTGCTCCGGTCCAACAAAAAATATCTCGAGATACCAATACAACACAGTATCAAATCGTTTCTGATCGTTGGATCTAACAATGTCCATTATGCCTAGCTAATCCAATAGTCAAAAACGATTTGGTACCGATTTGGTACCGTAAGGTAACGATACCTTGAAATACTTTTCGTTGGACCACAGCAAAATCTCTTTATCTTTATAATGAAGGAAGTAGTACCAAACTACCAATGCTGCAGCTCCTCCTGCACGGCTGTCTCATAGCCAGGTCGCACCGTATTAATTTCTCATGCGATGGACAATGGAAAGCCTTCATTTCATCCGGGCTGGAGGCCGTTTTGGTAATGGCCAATGGCTCTCTACGGCAGTAAATGCTGCAGCTCCAGCATGGTTGTCGTCCAAGACACTCAGATCGAGTCCTCATCATCACGGATCTAGAGATTCCGGGAACACCCAAAAAAAAGTTCTAGCTCCGTGTGTCTACATACACATATGTGATTTTTTTAAAAAAAAGCTAATTTATTAATGTATTATTATGCAAATTTAATCAATTTACTTCTAACTTGGTTAAATTCAAGGTATTTTGCGTTCACGAAAAAAATTCAAGGTAAAGCTATATAAGTGGTATCACATATATAAAAACTAGCATGGTGGCCCGCGCAATCTGCGCGGTTAGCATCATTATATTTTCTCTCATATAATAGCATATATGTTTTCTCATTATATTATTTAAATATATTAAAATAACAATATAATTTTAAATTTTGCAATAACTTTACAAAACTACTAATGTGTAATATTCATATTATATTTTATATACGTGTTAGTTGTTAATTATTTTTAATATCAAATTTTAGTTATTTGTAAATTATATATATTCCTATATGGACTCTAGACTCGTCTTTTAATATTTCTTTTTTTTTAATTCCGAATTTTCTGTAAATTGTATTTCTATGTAGACTCTATGCTTTTCTTCTAATATTATTTATTTTTGTTTCTGATTTTTTATTATTTCTAATTGTATTTCTATGTGGACTATAAACTCATCTTTCAATATTCTTTAATTTTTAATTTCGAATTTCAGTTACTTCTAAATTGTATTCCTATATTGACTTTAAACTCAATTTTGAATTTTAGTTATTTGTAAATTATATTTTTAGACGGACTCTAAACTCTACTTTTAGTTTTATTATGTTTATTCCAAATTTTAGTTAGTTTTAAATTCCTATATGGACTCTATACTCTACTTCTAATATTCCTTATTTTTTAATTACGAATTTCTATTTTTTTTCCTTAATTGTATTTCTATATGGACTCTATACTCTACTTCTAATATTCCTTATTTTTTAATTACGAATTTCTATTTTTTTTTCTTAATTGTATTTCTATATGGACTCTATACTCTACTTCTAATATTTCTTATTTTTTAATTCCGAATTTCTATTATTTCCTTAATTGTATTTCTATATAGACTCTGTACTCTACTTCTAATATTCCTTATTTTTAATTTCGAATTTCAGTTATTTCCTAATTATTTCTTATTTTTAATTCCGAATTTCAGTTATTTTCTAATTGTATTTCTATATGGACTCTAGTCTCCTCTTCTAATATTCCTTATTTTTTAATTCTGAATTTTAACTATTTCTAAATTGTATTTCTATATGGACTCTAGTCTTATCTTCTAATATTCCTTATCTTTTAATTCCGAATTTCAGCTATTTCTAAATTGTATTTCTATATGGTCTCTGTTTTTTCTTTTTCTCCGATTAATGTGAGAATTTCTAGGTCATGAGAGCGAACGTGGAGGCTCTTTTTTCTATTCCTTTAATAATATAATAGATTCTAGATAAGTCACCGCTCATTATGTAAATAAAAGACAAATATAGTATACGACACGATATATTTTAATACGATGTGACACGTTTTATACTAGGTCAGTTTTTTTTTTTATAGACAGGAGTGCGGGCCTTTTTCCCCCTCCTGTGACAAGCGGTTCAAAAGTACGCGCGGCCTGCCGCCTTCATCAGGGACTGTATGTCTGTATCCATGTCGTGTCGTCATCTGCACGTACGAGCTGCAACTTGGGGTGTGGGGGGTTGGGGGGGTGAGGGGGGCAATTACTCTGTAACTAGCACTGGATGAGAAATTCCTAACAGTGCGAATCTGGATTGACAGTAAAAATATCTTTTTTGATTTTAGGTTATTTTTATTTTGAAACAGAAGACATGTGCTTCTTAAATACTATAAATCTGGATACGTTTGTCCAGATTTACAGTAATATGATATTTATATTTTATAGAGAAGGATACAGTACAAGGCTGTCGGGTATGTTAAATCCATAGCAGCTGCCACTGCATGAACATTGTGCGCGCGGCAATGCAAAACAGTGCATACGTTGTTGTAAGCTTCCATTCTTACGTGCTCCTCTGTTTATAAAACAAGTTTAGTTTTATTTTTTTATTTCTAAATTAGATTCATTTCTAACTAGTCATTATATCCGAGTTTATGAATGTACTCCCTCCGTTTCATAATGTAAGTCATTCTAGCATTTTCCACATTCATATTGATGTTAATAAATTTAGACATATATATCTATCTAGATTCATTAACAACAATATGAATGTGGGAAATGCTAGAATGACTTATATTGTGAAACGGAGGAAGTAGAAAATAAATATGTTAGAAATATATAAAGAAATGAAATAATTATATTGAGATTTAAGAAAGTGGGAGTATTCTGTTTTTTTATTTATATATGTGAAATGGATTAAAAAATGTATTTATTATGGTACAGAGGATGCATGTAGTTGTTGAGAAGTTGGGACTCTACACTACAAAGGTGCTGTTCCAAGGAGATGGATCAGGGAACGCATTCACTGTTGATGCCCGATCGGTAGGACACGACGAGTTCATTCAAGGACTGCGTGTGAAACCTTGTATTGCAGTTAAGCTCGGATGGCCAGAACCCACCATTAGACGTTAGAGCTATCTCGCCCAAGAATAATATACTACCTCCATTTTATATTATGTATTAATTTAATCTTTTTAGTCAATTTTCTTTAAGTTTGATTAAGTTTATATGAAAATTCAGCAACAACTATAACATCAAATTAATTTGATTATATGTAACATTGAAAATTTTTGATGATGTATTTGTTTTGTGTTAAAATTATTGCTATATTTTTTTATAAAATTAATTAAACTTAACCAAGTTTAATAAAAAAATCAAAACGACTTATAATATAAAAACGGAGGAGTCCCATGTTTAGAATTAAAGCTTTCAATTACATATCCATTTGCAAAGAAGCAGACAGTAGTACGTGGTACATCTGAGCTTTTATCACACACCAAAGAAAAAAAAATGAGAGGAAAGATCGTGATGAAGATTCATCAGTTCTTCCATTTCACCATCCCACAGGCTGATCATGGGAAGCTGCTAGCAAATATTTACCAAGCAAAAAACACCATGCAAACACCATGCGATCCCCAGAGGCTTCAAGACCCGAGCCGGTACATGCCGTCCACAACGAACGGCCTGCCCATGTACAGCGGCAGCGCCGCCGCCGCCGCAAGGCCGCCGCCGTGGCCGGAGTGTCGGAAGCCGCCTCCGGCAGCTTCCATCGTCGGGAAGGCCGTGCCTGCCACCGGCGTCGGCTTCCAGTGCCGCTTCCTCTGGTTGATGAACCAGTTGTTGATCTGCTTCTGGTCCAGCCCCGTCGTCTGCGCCAGCGTCATCTTCTCCATCTCCTGCTCATACACAACCCCGTAAATTTCACGCATTTTCAAACGAGTTAATTTGGTGCAGAAAATGTGGTTGAATTGATCAAACGGGATGTGATGCGTGCGTACGGAGGGATAGGGCCACTTGTAGTGCAGCTCCCACCAGTGCAGAAGCTTCTGCCTGGCCTCCTTGGGAAGCTTCCCTTTCTTGGTCCTCTTGGAGAACACCTGCCGGAGATCGCCCAACGAGCCACCGTACTTCCTCAGAAGCTGGTGCTTCAGCTGCTTGTCACTAGGGTCTTGCTCTTCCTCTGATGATCCCGTGCCTTCACAATTACTCTCTGTTAAAAACAGCAGCTCAAAAAGGTTAATTGTTCAACATGATGTTCTATCAAAATAATTAAAAATTACATGACTGCGTGCGTCACAGCAGGTAAACCTCATATGAAGGGAGGTGTGGGAGATCGAATAGATTATGCATAGAGTATAATGGTAGTACTGTGTATTACTCAATCGGTCAGCCCCACCAGGCCACCAGTCAGTCAATTAATTCTTTGTGTTTACTAGGTAGGAGTGTATCGAAGTAAGCAACAGTGCAACCCTGAAGGCCTGAACATGTTGTACACTCTGTGCACCCAATAATTGTCCTTGCTCAGCTAGACAGGCCCTGTTTGGAGGAGCTTCTTCCAGCTGCAACTTTTCCCAAAAGCTACTTCTGCTAGAAGCTGTCCCAAACAGTCCACAGCTTCTGAGAATCTGTAGTTACAGATTCTGAAAATTGAACTAAGAAGCCAGAAGCTGGAGAAGCTGGGTTTCAGAGCATTTCCAGATTTTCAGAAGCTTGCTACCAAACAGCTGATTATCAGAATCTAAAGCTCCACCAAACAGGCCACGGTATTTCCAAATTCCAAGCAGAAAACTAGACTAGTCAAACAGCCGCCATACCGTTCAATTTGAGACAAGGATATTCATTTTGATTCGTAGGGAAAAGCTATGACAAGAATATATACTAAATATTACAAGGCCTGCTTGTGTTCTGTTTATTCGAAGGCAAAAAAAAAAATCAGTGATCTTGTGTGAACACTTAGACAGAACGGTTTTAAAATATACTGTCTCCTTCTCAAATTGATCATCATATAAATTTACGCACCAAGACCAAAAAATAATTTAAATCACATCAATCAAGACACAATGCACACATTCTCCCACAATGCATACATCGATTAAAACTCCATGCCAATTACTCCACCCTAGCATGCACGCATTCTCCCATGTTGTATTAATTGTATTCCGATGAAATCCGTCTCCATGCAGTTATATGATGATCAATTTAAGAAATTTTGATTTCTATTACATGATAATCAATTTAGAAAGGAGGGAGTAATTAGCGGGCACATAATAAAGATGAGTTCAAAACGATGGTGACAAGAGAAACCATTCCACCATGCTATGAAAAAATTGTGCCCATCCTAATTTGCATTCATCTCAAAGCGATTGTAATATATAGATCCAGGATTTGTACGGATAGTGAATCTCATAAATTTTGCCATATTAGTCGTCTTTTGAAACACCACCTTGTATATATGCAACTACTAGTGTAAAAAACTACACTAATTCATATAGACAAAACTATTGATTTTAACAATGAAATAAGGCCAAATACTTACAAAGACTACACTAGTTCCACTAAAAAAATTATTCATACCCTTGATTTCAGAAGATTAAAAAAAATATAAATAACAAATATATTACACAACTCCTACAATTCATAGGATAATATTTATAGTATGCAGTTCAAATTCCATCCAATATAAAAATTTATTTGAAACTTTCTGGGAGCTATTTATGCTGCATGTGTGCACATACACATTCTGTTGACATTGGAATATTTCCAGACAGTAGAGCAGCATGCAACCAGAATATGATTCAAAAAGTAATTAACAGAATGAAAAGTGTTACTTATGAACAGTTAAATGGATATTTCTGAAATGACAACATTGAGACGAAATGACATCAAAAGAGTGCAAAGTCTAGTTAGTATTGATGCTAGTACAAGACACTGGTTAAAGTAATGTGTGCATAGACTGTATTTTCATTGTTGTGGATGATATATATGTTAAGTTAGATAATCATTCACTTATTAACAAGCCGTGTTTATCACTCTTATGAACTCCTAATGCAATCCTCCCTCCTTTTTTAAATATATGACATTGCTGACTTTTGAACATGACGTTTGTCCATTCACCTTACAAAAAAAAATAGTGCAAATATGTAAAATTATAAGTTATGTTTGATGTACCTTTAATAATAAACAAGTCACAAAAAATAATTTATATTTCAAACGTCATATCTAAAAGTCAATAGCTAATATCTGAACATGATCCATACTGGTGAAATAGTAGGATTCCAACAATTCATCTGAGTATATGGAATAGATCAAATCATGTGTGAGGGGATGAATTGTTGCACCAGTCCAATAAATATCCAACAAATTAGAAAAAAAATCAATTCCAAAAGAGACCATCTGTCCAACAAATTAGAAACAAAAATCAATTCCAAAAGAGACCATCTGTAGACAGGAATATATGTGTAGACACAAAAAAAAATGCCTCATCGGTAGGGGAATAGCTGAATGACATTTTGGCAGACTAAATATATAAGAAACCAGATAATTCTTCCATATATGTACTCCTATATATTATCCAGGATTTGTACGGATAGTGAATTTCATAATTTTGCCATATTAGTCGTCTTATGAAACACCACCTTGTATATATGCAATTACCAGTGTAAAAAACTACACTAGTTCATATAGACAAAATTATTGAACTATGTTTCAACAAAACACAATATGATATGCATGCTGGTCACTATGCTGCTTTCATTCTTTCAATTATTTGGCACTCGATTGATGTCTGTATATATAAGAAAGAGTTCTGATCTGGAAATCTATTCGTATGGCTACGGAAAGTGCTCAATAATGTTCGGAAACAACTGCACTTGAAAGGACACAACTAGATGGTCATACACACTTATCAATTGTCTAATATATAGCTGGATCCTTACCCCACTCCAGTAACTATATATCCAGGCCATGAGACAAAGTGCACAGGGTACTAACAGTGCCCATTCATGTCCGACAGCCAAGACTCGATCCAGGATTTGAGGTCGGTAAACCAATTACACTCACGGAGGCACAATGACAATAGGCCCACCGGCCACTCATTCTGTCATCCACCGCCACTCATGTTTTCAACCAGCTAGATGTTACTTACACCTCAATTTGGCCACTATGTTCTGCAAACTTTGATGGTTCGTTTAATTTACCTCTTGGCCCTTAATCTTAACATAAATCGTCTAAGTTGAAAACAAAGATCGTCTAGCCATTTCTCTGTGACTACCAGCGGAAGACATGACAAGAGAGCAAAAATGTAGGTTAGACAAGGACCTGCAGAGATATTGGGGACAGAACGTGCTGAGAGCTTTCTCCTGTCAGTTCATCACTTGTGATGCATGCACTGAACTCTTTAATTAGAAGCTAATAATGTCAGCAAGGTTGGGTCTTAATTCTAAAAATAAAAGAAAATCAGAGGAAAAAAAATAACGTCAGTACAAGGTACAAGTTCAAAGAACTGCATGTGCTCCAGTATTAATTATTCCTTTGTATGATTCATTAAGATTGTACGACAGAGGGAGGACACCATCGTTGTATTGCACAGGAGGAAGTGGAGACTGGAAAGTAGGAGAGCCATGCATATATGGCAATTTGGAAACCCTGGAGCTCAGCTCGCAGCCTCACCGTGTGACCTCATGATGCTTATCATACTGGTCATGTATACTTAATTAAGCTCCAATTATTACGAAACTGATCTAATGCATGCAACCCTTATCCCCCACCCTAATAAACATATTAAAGCCTGAGATTAGCAGCCTTAAGAAATACTGCTGCAACAGCCACATGAGTCCAAAGAGGTGACAAAAAAAAAACTAACTCCAATTCCATAAAGTGAGATACCATTTCGGCATTTCCCAATATGGCAAGCTGCAAATCTTTGTAGAGAAGAGGCGTATAAAATACTCACCAGCGAGCGAATCGAGCTGCGTCTCCACCCTGCTGAAGAACTCCGCGGCTTCCAGGATCGGCCGCTCCAGCTCCTCCCTGTACCTCGTCAGCATGCTGCAGTACGCGTCCTGTGATGACAAGATCAGATCCCATGTCGATCGATCAGAAGAACAGTGGATATATATGTGTGTGTGTCTGTCTATATATATGCACGCATGCGAGCAAAGGAGTTGATGATCTATATATGTTGATACCATGAACTGATCGAGCTGATCCGGGTCGTCATCACGCTGTGGCTCGTGCCGGCGACGAGGGTGGCCGTCGGCTTCGTCCAGCTGCTGCGCCGCCGGCACAGCCGTGAGCTTGGTCAGTACATCCGGCGGCGCCCCGACCTGATAAAAAAACCAACAAAATCAACTTGGTCAGTACATCCGGCACGGCCGTGAGCTTGGTCAGCACATGGCGTGTTGTCGTCTGTATCTGCATGGGTTTAAATATATGCATCTGCTAGCTTAGCTACTACACCTTTTTGCAGCCTAAGTAGGCGGCTAGGAGAGCCGAGTACTGTGGATGCGACATGATCTCGGCCTTGACCGCCGCCTCCGCGCCTGCCGGCGAGACCTGTCCCTGCACAGCTGCTGCTGCTGCTTCGCCGCCACCGCCGCCGTGGTGATGCCCATCATGCCCATGCTGCCGCGCCGACGACTCCGGGCCGGCGAGCAGCTGGTACAGCAACGGGGGCGGCGAGATGTGGTCCGGGTTCTCCGGCGAGATCAGCTCCGGCAACCGAGCTGTGGTGCTGCTGCTGCCACCTCCTGCGAGACTGGCGAAGCTCTCCATGGCCGACAGGACAGGTGAGGTGAAGAAGAGGCGATAGATAGTAGTTATGGCAAACAAACCCTAGCAAAGAAAAGGAGGAGATGATCTCCTGAAATGAGGTGGTGGTGGTTGAGATGGATGGATGCAGGGAATGTGAAGAGGAGAGGAAGCTAGAAAGAAGATGAATATGATGGTACTCCTCCTAGTATACGTATGGCCCATCTTAGCTTTGTTCTAACGTCAAAATCAGAGCGAGAAATTAATGAAGAGGTTAGGCTATTCAGTGTTTGCAAGCAGCAGCAGCAGCAGCAACAGTGAAACTACTGCAAAACACATGAGAAAGGAGGGAATAATTATACTCCTGGGCTAAAGCGTAGACAGAGCAATGACGGCGAATAAAAACAGACGGGGGGAAAAAGGATCTGGACAACGTAACAGCGGCAGGCGCAGCTGATACACATGGCACATGCACCTCTCGTGTGGGATGTTTCCTCTCTTCTCTTCTCATTCGAATACTGTTCGTTTTCAGACAGAAAACAGAGATATTCATATGCTGGCCAGTATTACGCCGCAGCTCCTTTCGTCTCCAGGTCGATCGGCATGAAGCAGCAGCAGTACTAAGTACTACTACCTCCGTCCCAAAATAAGTGCAGTTGTGGATATCCGTGCCCAACGTTTGACCGTTCGTCTTATTTGAAAATTTTGTGAAAAATTTAAAAATATTTAGTCACACATAAAGTACTATTTATGTTTTATCATCTAATAGTAATAAAAATACTAATAAAAAAATTTCAAATAAGACGAACGGTTAATACAAAACTGCACTTATTTTGGGATGGAGGGAGGGAGTTCGTATAGCAGCGTTTGCAGTACAAGGCGTCTCATGAACAGCAACAGGACAGTGGACGGGACGTACGAGAGAGCTACAGTCTACAGCAGTTGTGTGTTAGTTCCATGCGTTGAGCGGTCGAGGTCCTTAACTTCTTTTCACTAAGATGGAAAGATTCTGGGAAAAGTAATGTGATGGAACTGTGCATCGATGTGGCCACTCTATATTCTATATAGCTAGAGATATCTCCTAACCTCAGATATCATATCAGAAATTCATCTGTTTAGTACTACCTAGTACATCGTCGTTGTGCTAATAGCATCAGATATATCAGAAGTACAGTATACTTACAGTCATCGAGACCTCGAGTAGTTAGCTCCGATCCTTCCTACGAGCTCCGGACTGTGTGTGCGAAGATCCCGTGTTTTAAGCTCGTCCTGTCAAATCCACGTCGAAGGATGCACAAGTATACGGATAGTTAGTTTCCGCTAATTAGGCAGCCACAGACACTCCGCCAGGCATAGCGCGCGGCACAGCACGTGGGCGTGTTTAGAGCTATAATAACTGCCCATCTTCCAGACTCTAGAGTAAACGGAAACAGTAGCACAAACAGGAAAATCTTATTAAAAAATAGTGTAAATATGAACAATATAAGTCATGTTTTAAAGTTTTTTTTAAGTTATAGAACAAATCGCAATAAAATAAATGATATTTATTTTGTGAATAATACAAATAACCAGAAATTATACCAAAAATCAATGACATCGTTTATTAAAAAAAGGGAGTATTTTGAAGGTTACAAAATGTAATTTTACCATACCTCTAAGGGGGCTGCAATACAACGGAATCCCGTTGGGACGGGATGATACCAGTTAGGTATCAGGTCCTGATACCTCTGAGGTATCATGTCCTGATACCTAACCTTTATCAGACGATACTTCCGAGGTATCAGGTGATACCTATAAGATATCAGGCGATTCCTATCATGTATCATGTGATACTTGCGAAGTATCAGGTGAAACCTGTCAGGTATCAGGCGATTCCTACCATGTATTAGGTGATACTTGCAAGGTATCAGGAGCCAGGCACTAAAAGCGTCGTCGTCGGTGATCCCACTGTCCACGTATTGTGCCGGAGCTTGTCGCCGGCGGCGGCATCCTCCACGATCCACGCCGGAGATCGTCGCCGGTGATCCCACCGTCCACGTCTCGTGCCAGAGCTTGTCGCCGGCAGCGGCATCCTCCACGGTCCACGCCGGAGATCGTCGCCGGCGCAGCCACATCCTCCGCCATCCACGTTCCACGTCGGAGCTCGTCGCCGGTGGCCGCGTCCTCCTCCGCCACGCCCCACGCCGGGCTCATCGTTAGCGGCCGCGTCCTCCACCATCCATGCCTCATGCCGGAGCTCGTCGCCGAGGCCGCGTCCTCCACCGTCCACATCCCCACATCATCATCAAGCGTTCGCATCGGCGCGGTCACAGGCGGTAGCGACGAGCAGGCAATGACCGCGACCATGAAGCTATCATCAGCAGCAGTGACGCACGCGGAAAAGACATGGCTCAAGGAGATAGTGCAGGAGGAGGCGATACCGTCCCACGCGCTCGGGACGGTATATCCCGTGGTATAGCATTTCAACACCTCTAAACACCTTAATAAAGGATAAAAATGAGTATTGCATCAATGAATATAAAGGAATGTGTTTATTTAATTTCAGACTTTTGAAATTGCATTATACACGCTATTAATTACTACATTCATAAATATGACTTTTAAAATAAGATTTTTTTGGTTAAACTTTCAAAACGTTCACCATCAATAACATTTTCAAATAATCCATTTATATAAAGATAGCAAAAAAAAGGCTACACCATGTTTTCTCTATAGGTAGAAACTTTCACATTAATCGAAGAAAAAGGGTAAGGCATTACAGTCTATCTAAATTATAATAGCGTAGATTAATTGATATAGTTGTATAGAAAATATGATTGTATTTATTAATACACTTTTATTCTATGTCAAAATTATTTTCATAAAAAGAATGATGGTTAAAGTTTGACCTAATCTTAGACTAAATCAAATGAGCGGATAGGTAGTGAATATACTAATTAAATAGAAATACAATGGACGCAGACGCACGTCTATTTCTAATAAACCTTTATCCTGGGAACCCATTTCTGATGGAAATTAAACGCCACAGGCCACATGCATCATCGAACGTCGCTATTTTGCATAGCCGCCACAGTCATCGGATAGGTGATTTAATCACCGAGTTGTTTTTTGTTGAAAAGCTGCTCACATAACGTCTGTGCAGGTGGCCTTGTAAAATCAAATCAGCGTACAAGTATTACCTGAGATATCTTTTGGATATTATTGGTAGTAGAATGTAATTAATCAAAGAATCTTATCTTTAAAAGTAAAGATGGGACAGGAAGACTTGTCACCAATCATATCATTTTGAGTACCCATAGACTCAGGGTGGATGGATGCATGGATGCTCAGTTGGCTCACTATTTTGCTAGTACACATCTGTACATGCACGGTGCAAGTTATATACTCCTATGCTTTACAGTAAGCTTCTAATTTTTAAATCCAAGAGACATTGCTGAGTACTTGAACTTACCTCACTGTTTGCATACATAAATATTGCACCTATCTGTTTTGTTCTGCATGTAGCTAGTTTCTTCTGTATTAACCAATAAATACTATTTTACCATGAAGAAAACGGTAGAAGAATCACAAGAAGAAAGGAAGCAACAACTGGAAGAGATTGAAATTTTAAAGAAGTCACCAAAGGAGACAAATGGCCTTCGTCGTTTAATTGGCCTCAATACTCCCTCTTTTGGTCAGCCTCAGTAAGGTTTGTCTATCCTCTAAATGTCCCCATGCTGATTCATGTTAAGATGACTAGTTTTGTGGTTGGTGTGATCTGGACATGTGACTTTGTTTTGGTTAGTGAATGTAAACGACTATTTGGACATGTGACGTCATTTTGGTCACTAGCGATGGCTGGATTTGGTCGATGATGATATGCGCAATGTACTGATGTTGTATCGATGTAATTGAACCTGTTTTGGTCAATGAACTTGTGATGTTTGTGTTGGCTAATGAATCTGTGCTTATATTAGAACATGTGACTGAATTTGGTCGTTAATTGGGCTATAAGATTTGAGATTTCCTGGATGTTAGTTGGGTTGTGTATTGGATGATAATTGGGCTAAAAATTGGCTGATAAGGTGGCTGAATACGTGATTGTATAATGCTTGGGCCTATGTGGGCCTTTCGAATTTTCTGGGCCCACTCATTAGTTGATTCCAATGCAAATGCATATAAATACAAGTGGGATGAAAATATTGTGTAATTTGATGCGTTTTAGATGGGCCAGGCCTAAATCTAATCGGGCTTGTAACTAGGCATGACCCATAAACATGTGGAAAAAGTATACTTCGACTCCCTCAACTATGACCCGAGTATGATTCATGACCTCCAACCACAAAACCGGGCATATCGACTCCTCCAACCATCAAAACCAGTGCAAACTATGCCCCTGGGTGGTTTTGGAGGCGGTTTAGGCTGACGTGGCGACCACGTGGTGGTGTTGACCGGTCTTCGTCCAGCGTGTCGTCGACGTGTCGCTTATCTGGCACAAGAGTAAACAAAAAAAACAAAAAATTATGGGACCGACATGTCATTCACACAAAAAAAAAATAGTGGGCCCCACATGTCATCTTTTCCACATGTGAGCTCCCGGCCGTCCGCATGCTAGGGGAAGAGCTTGCCGTCCGCGCGACGGTGGTGGAGCTCCCGGCCGTCCGCACGCCGGGGGAGGAGCTCGTCAGCGTCCGCGCGCGGGGGAGGAGCAACCAGCCATCCGCGCGCCGGGGGAGGAGCTCGCCGGCGTACGCGCGCGGGAAGGTGCAATCGGCCGTCCGCACGCCGGGGGAGGAGCTCGCCGGTGTCCACGCGCGGGGGAGGAGCTCTCGGCCCTCCGCGCGCCAAGGGAGGAGCTCGCCGGCGTCCGCGTGCGGGGAGGAGCTCCCAGCCTTTCGGGTGCCACGGGAGGAGCTCGCTGGCATCCGCGCACGGGGGAGGAGCTCCGGCCTTTCGCACGACGAGGGAGGAGCTCGCCGGCGTCCGCGCAACGGGGGAGGAGCTCGCCGGCGTCCGTGCTTGAGCAAGGAGCTCCCGGCCGTCCGCGCACATGGGGAAGAGCTCGCCGCCGTCTTGCCGGTGCCCGTCGGCATCTCGAGCAACATGTGGCAGCGCGCGTCGAGGGCACGCTTCAGCTCACCCATGTACCGCCGCCGCCGCCGCTGCCGCTCCCTACCGCCACCCCCACCGCCGCCCGCTGCCACTGCCGCGGCCGCTCCCCACCGAAGAGAAAGGCCAGGGGAGAGAGAGAGAAGGAGAGAGAGAGAGGAGGGGATGAAGGAGGAAGAAGGGAAGGAGAAGGAGGATGACATGTAGGTCCCACAATACTTTATTTGTGTGAATGACATATGGGTCCCACATATTTCTTTTTATTTTTTTATTCTAATGCCATGTAAGAGCCACGTAGGATAAAGACTCGGTCAAGAGCGCCACGTAGGCGCCACGTCATCCAAAACCACCCAAGGTATTGTTTGTACCGGTTTTGATAGTTGGAGGAGTCGATATACCCGATTTTGTGGTTGGAGGACATGAATCATACTCGGGCGATAGTTGAGGGAGTCAAAGTATACTTTTTCCTAAACATGTTGATCATTGTATGGGCCTTGGCAGGCCACAAGAAATTGTGACGAAATAAATTGACAAAAAAACTCTGCCATATCAGCTCCACGTCATCGTGTGCTAAAATTTTATGACGTTTTCTATCCGACATGGCATCTGTACACTCATCAAAGTTTAGTGAGTTATAACGATTTCTGAGCTCAATAATGACAAAAATGGGCGTCATAGACTCAATGACGATAGAAGGATCGTCACTAGATTAGTGAAAAAAAAAACAAGTTTTCATCATAAAACTTCATTAGAGACGCATGATAGGTGACGAATGAATTTTCGTCACGCAAGCATCACAAATTTCAAATCATGACGTAAATTTCAGTTTGTGACGTAAGTGAAACGTCACCTATCATAAGATTTCTTGTAAGGTCATACACAGTGCAGATATAAGAAGTGGTCGAGTGCCTCCAGCTTGTCATATCGGTGCGATGATGCTAGGTTGGCTAAGTTTGTGCAAGCCCTTCGGATTCCTCATGCCCTCTGAAGGGTGCGGGTGCCCCTACAGACCGAGCAAAGGCCAATACCACGAGCCACGTTGACCTTGGATGTAGGAGAGAGTAGAGAGGGGAGAGCGTGGGATGTTGCCACTAACAAGCTAAAGCGCATCTAGCAAGCTAGAGCGCACCTACCACGCCATCCCCCAATTCATGTCGGCTCGAAGCTCACGTCATGGCCGAATTTGATAGCCACTAGCTATAGCCACCCTAGAGCCGTGGTCATCGATTTGAGAAGGAGAGAAAATGGATGGCCACGGGAACTAGCGAGGAAGGACTCCCCATGGCATAGGAATCCGCAAGGGCATTCGGCTTCCTCCTCATCACTGAGCTTGTTCACACCCTTGTTCACTCGGCCAATGCAAGGCCAGATAGGGAGCATGCGACTAGAGGTGAAGAAGAGAGCAATGTTGACAAGAAGGGGAGGGGAGATAGGAGCCGATGGAGGGTAGGGAGTGACGAAGGCAATGGGAGGAGCCGTCGGTAAATGGGGATTTCATGGAGTGGCTGGGGATGGGTCTAGACAATATCTACGAGATTAGGTCAAGGGAGCTATTTTATAATAGTTTCTAGTTTTAAGGGTGTTTAGTGTAAATTTTAGTCGTAATCACACAAAATTTGACTAAAATAGAAAATATGAGAGGTTGACATGCAAAATTGAAAACATGACTTAATTCAGCAACTTTTTCACTATAGGAGAGAATGTGTAGCCTCAACTTTGAGATCCTTATTGGAGTGGCTTGTATTATGAATGGCCTAATAAAGCTAGAGTGAGGGATCAGCTACTTATACGTATTTTGTCTCATATGTGCTATTTTATGTGGCTTCGTATATTATTAGTTCACTCAACCATTTAACATATATACATAGGAGTAAAATATAGATATTATGGTGAGTAGTTATATTAACTGGACTGGCCCAATAAGGTTACTTAGTAGTACATCCGTTCTAAAATGTAGCTTTCTAGCACAGGACCTTGTCCCAAAATAAAGTCATTTCTCAACCTACCTTCTCCTCTCAACCAATCATAACCATTTTCTTTCATCTACTACTCTGTCCTAACAAAAAAAGACAAACTCTAGCTCCAACCTGGACACGCATGTGTGCTAGGATTAGACTTTTTTGGGGACGGAGGGGGCACTTTCTATTCTTAACCAATCACACACTTTCTCAAATCATTCTCACATATTTTCTTAATACCCGTGCCAACCTAAAAAAATACTTAAATTTTGGCATGAAGGAAGTAGTAGATTTATTTAAGATATTAATGCCAGAACTACTTCCTCCATCTTTAAATGTAAGCACTTTTTAGATTGACACGAGTATTAAGAAAGTAGGTGAAAATAATTGAAAGAAATGTGTGATTGATTGAGAGGAGAAAGTAGATAAAATAGAATGATTGTGATTGGTTGAAAGGAGAAGGTATGTGAAGAAATAGTTTTATCTTGGGACAAAGTATTGTGCTAGAAATAGTTACATTTTAGGATGGAGGTAGTAGCAAAATTTCAATAAAGCAGGGATCAGTGCAGGAGTAGAAACGTATAGTGGTAACTAACCAGTGAGGCCCCATGTATGCAAGCCAGAAGCTTGGAGCGGCCACGGGCCACGTGCAAGAACGTGGCCAGTACATTGTGCAGCCTCCATCGACCTGGTGCTTGTGTAGTTGTGTGCAGCGGCAGCAGCAGCAGCTTCCGCATGCATCCGGCCATCCTACTTCCTGCTGACAAGAGAACATGGAAGCAATAAGTCAGTGTTCCAACTCTGGTAAATACAAATGCTTCGGCCGTACACTGGCGGTCAGATTAAACATGTAAGGAGCAGAAACTGGGCCTTGCATTGCTGCCATTCATCCACAGCCAGAATATCAGCCCAACACAAACTGGTAGTGCTTCCAAACATATTGCGTTGTATGGAGTAGTCAGGATTCAGCCCAGTTAAACCATCTGGAGCCCATTTATGCCTTTCAGGAGTGCTGTCCAGGAGTGGACACCATCTGGAGCCCATTTATGCCTTTCAGGAATGCTGTCCAGGAGTGGACTTATCTTTCTCATGTTACAGTTTTATTCCATATAGGATGAGCCCGTTTTCCTATACTAGATGATATAGCTTTTCAAGATCCTCTCAAAAAAAGATAGCCTCTCAAGAAAAGATTGACAGCTAAATGACAAACAAAGCCTAATCACACCCACCATTCCAAGTTACTTTCAGAGAGGTCCTTCAGAATGTGAAATGGTTAATATATAATTACGTGTCAAAGCTCCTGACCCGTCTGATCAATCTTTTGCTCGGATGTCACTTTCTCGTGTCCAGACCTCCAGATGACTTCACTTACAAACCTGCAGTCATATATAGAAACAACTTTTTACTTCCTTAGTCCTCACACATGAATGATACTAATACCATAAGTAAATACAGCAAGAATTCAAACCAACGAACAAAAGGCGTTGCAGTTTCAATGTTAAACTCAACAGCTGGAAGCTCACAGATTTGTCAAAATACAGTATATATCATTCAAACGGTCACTTCACCGGATTATTGCAATAAATCAGTAAACAAGCTATTGAATAGGAAAGGCATAAATCAGAGGTAGGGATTAGTACAGGATGGCATGGTACATTAACCTCGAATGCTTTCCAAATTCCTAACAATATAATGTACAACAGTTCAAAAACAGAAGAAGCGTTTGACCAGATGACAAAGGAAAAAACATAAAAACAGGATCAAACACCTCCCATCTTATAACTCGAGCAAGGTGGCCACCTGGTGATCTATTGATATGTCAAATTCTTTATCAATTGAAATCATTTATCCATAGAGCAATACCAAGTTATTTTCCAAACATCCAAATATGGCTTACAATGTAATATGGCACAATGATGTAAATTAGCTTTGGACCTTTATTTATGATATATAATCAATCAGTAGGACCAATTTGGTCTTCCACGTTTCATTAACATGAATTATTTTTCTAAAACTAAAGTATAAATAAATCATACAAGAGCCACGGTCCAAACTGGACCAACTAAAAGATCAGCATGAACAATGTAAAGATTGAGTAGAACAGAACAAGAATACCAATACAACACAAATTAACAGAAAATCTACCCTGATGCAAGCCAGCCTACATCATCCATTACACCATAGCATTGACAGTGACTGAAGGAGTAAAGGGAGCAAGGAAGGCCAAATGCCAGATGCCAATGACTCGTTTATTCGGTGAGTATATTTCAAAGCACTTGGAAATCAAGCAACTTATTTAATTGACTTACTATCCACAAGTAGCTCAATCGAGACACAAAAATTATGTTGAATATGATAGTATGCTCGCTGGGTTGGTATGCATAAATGGATGGCAATCACACATCAAATGGCTACTCCAAAAGATAGCAGAAAAATCCCACTCCCCTTGAAAAAATAGCACAAAGGTTTTGCGACACAACAGAGCAAATTATGAACAGAACTTCTGCAGCAGGATTAGGATCCAGCTAGAGAAGAGGTAATGTGAAGACCAATCATGCCACCTGATTGTTGTACCTGATATTGGAAACAGGGATATTTTTAGAAAATGCAAGCACTGTACTTGTTGCTAGCTAGTCTGTGCTATGTAAGTTACTATGCTTCTACCAAATATTCTACCAAACTGATCAAAGAAGGATGGGCAGTTGGGCACTACCTTTCTTTAAGAAATGATGCTTTTATACGATGAAATGCATGCATTTTATTTACAATGCATAGTTAGATGGGTGTTCTGAGAATGTTATTTCACTATTTCAGCATGTAATCTTGCAAAACTTATTTCTTCTCTCCCATAATGGAAATTAAAAATACATTACATTTTGCAAAACAAAAGATTATATAGTGTACATGGGTTGCACTTCCAAGTTATGATTTTTACACTTTATTGAACTGGCCACTGTCTGGTTGTCTGCAATACAGTATATATGTGTGCAAGAGTAGTACACAGCATGAACCAAAGGAATTGGATCAGACATGAAAACTTGAAGCATACGGTGCACAAAGACCAGGTCCAAGGAAGAGGCCAGCAATAAGCTGCTGCCTTGCTGATGGCCGCATGATGGAGATTCTAATCCAAGGGAAACAACAATTAGAAAGAAAGCAACCCAGATCACACCACCACAAATTAAACCGTATTTTATTACCATCACACGCAGCCCCCTTTTCCCGTGGCAATAATACAATCCTCTATTCCTCTCTCATGTCTGCCTTTTGAGCACATAAACACACCACCCTCGCCATCATCATGCCTAACCAAGTTTAGGCCCTAATCAACGCTTTGCTCTGCACACCTCGCAAGAGATCAGAGCCCCTGAAAGCTAGAAGAGGAGATAGAGGATAACCCACACGCCATGGGGAGAGCGCCGTGCTGCGACAAGGCGAGCGTGAAGAAGGGGCCATGGTCACCGGAGGAGGACGCGAAGCTCAAATCCTACATCGAGCAGAACGGCACCGGCGGCAACTGGATCGCCCTGCCCCAGAAGATCGGTATGTGTTGGCAATTCTCATGAGTCATGAGTCGATGTGGTGGTTGTGGCAGCAGCAGCAGCGATAGTGGTAGAAGAAAGCTAATCAAGTGCATGTGTGTCTTTGTTGGTTTGGGTTTGTACATGTAGGTTTGAAAAGGTGCGGCAAGAGCTGCCGCCTCCGGTGGCTGAACTACCTCCGGCCGAACATCAAGCACGGCGGGTTCTCGGAGGAGGAAGACAGGATCATCCTCAGCCTCTACATCAGCATAGGAAGCAGGTATACTTGCTAATTCAGCTGGGCACACACAAGTCTAGTCACTCCTATGATCAACTCAACTGTAGAATTAGCTGCGAAACCGGTAGGCAGGCAGGCAGGTTGCACATGGGGCATGAGAGTGTAGTACAATCTATGATCTGACATGACCATATATGCATGGCACAGGTGGTCGATAATAGCAGCGCAGCTGCCGGGGCGGACGGACAATGACATCAAGAACTATTGGAACACGAGGCTCAAGAAGAAGCTCTTTGGCAAGCAGTCGCGCAAGGATCAGAGGCAGCAGCAGCACCTGGCGCGCCAGGCGGCAGCAGCTGCCAGCGACTTGCAGATCAAACAAGAAGCGAGCAGGGGTGCAAACGAAGCCGATGGCTTGGCTGCCGGTGCCAATTACACTTGGCATCACCACCACGCCATGGCCGTGCCTGTGCACCCGATGTCGGCACCAATGGTGGTGGAAGGAGGCCGTGTGGGAGACGATGTCGATGAGTCGATCCGGAAGCTTCTGTTCAAGCTCGGAGGGAACCCATTCGCGGCCTCGCCGGCACCGCCATGCATACCTCCACCACCAATGTACGAGGAAGCCCCAAGCTTCGTGCCACCATTGGCGCACGGCGTGCCGCTCAACGAAGGCGGCATGCAGTGCTCCAGCGTGCTGCCGGCGCTGGAGCTGGACGAGAACTTCCACTTCAACCATGTCAAGCTGGACGGGCTCGAGTGCCTCTTCGGGATGGGAGATCACCAAAACATGAGATGGAATGAGGTGAGCCCGTTGGTTTGCCCTAATAACGCTGTGGCGTCCAGCTCCCAAGGGATGCAGCAGTACTGCCTAGTTGAAGAACCAGCTGACCTCGGGATGCAGTAGCAATTTGGTTGTGTTTCCGTGTACATGCATGATTGTGTGGTGTAAATCTGTAGCATTCATGGGGAAATTAATGGGGAAAGATGAGATCAAACTTCTTTGAACTAAGAGCAATAAGGTCGAGCTCTCACCACTCCTAGATGAGAGATAGGTGCATGCCTGATTTTCCAGGTGTCTTCATGTGAGTCTAGTCTTTAAATGGTATTTTCCTCTACTCTCTTACTGCCCTACAGAAACATTTTACATTAGACTGTACGTGTTGCATTTATCTGTCGCTTAATTTGGTGTGTTTTGGCGTATTTAATTTGTATCAAGTGACAAGTACTGACCTAAACTTAAGACTTAGGGCTATAGCTAGAAATTTGTTTTATGTTCCTAATACCGTACCATAGGGCATTATATCCCCTTTTTTTAAAGATCATGCTATACGTACACACACTTATCTTTAAAAAAAATTCTCTAATGTTTGCTTAAATTTGGCCCAAAAAAACAGTATACATCATGCGATATTAAGAAATATACTAAGACAAGCATATCTACAGAATCCGCAATATTAACATATCATGCCCTTTTGTATGCAAAGGTAAGAGAGAAGAATCAGTTTACTCAAGTATTACTCAAGTGTCTACAGCCATAATTTATTATTCGATATTCCAAGGCACTGGGCATTTATGTGCCAGAAGATATGTCATTACTGGCACATGAGATTAAGATTTAGTTTGTGCAAAAACTTCCTCATGTGCAGTGTCAAATATATTTATGGTGACTAATCCGTTCAAGTTTGAAATTTTGGAGTCTGAAATGATACGGGACCTTCATTTCTCTTGATGTCATATGCAATTATCAAAACGTTTATTTGACTTAGCTTGTTTGATTTCTCATTCCGTACATTAGCCAAGTAAGTGAAGCGTTGGTATAATCATTAGTTGACATTTGTCTTCAACAACTAGTTGTCGTACTGGGGAAAGAACAGACCTCTACCCAGGTAATAATCAAACTATATTTATATCTATTACTAAGCTAGCATGCCCCTTCCTACGACCAAGGAAAATGTCAGCCCAGCTAACTGTTCTAGAAAAATGAAAACTCAACTGACCTCTCCCATCATTGACACCACACATTGTTCCAGCAAGATGTCGTCATTGCCTTTTCCATTCGGATGCTTGCATAAAATGAAGTAAAGAGCATGCTTTTTAGGAGTTCCTCATAAATATGTAAAAGAAATACATAACAGAATGTAAAAAAAAAAGGATAGAATACTCTTATGTTGTGGGTGATAACAGCCATAGCGTTTAAACAACAAACACGTTACATGGATATGGTTCATTTACATGAGTTGCCAATTTCGAATATCACCATTTCTAGCTGTTTTGTTATAGGAGGGTCTGAATCTACGAGAAATTAGATAGATCAATACAATTTGATGTCTTTGATAGATATGTTTTGCTAATTTAAGAAATCACGTGGATCAATTAAATCAACATAACTTATTTTCATCGGCACCAATAATCAGCCGAATCAGAAAGGTCAAGTTTACATATGTTGCTTTGTTTGGTAAAAGAAGTTCACAGTTCAGACCAAAAGGAGGCCCAGTCTATATGATTGTTAGGAGGCATCATGCATGGACAAACAAGTCTATCATCAGTTAGAAAAGAAATAGTATAGTACAGACTACAGAGCATGCCTGAGAAGAGTCAAGTTGGTTAATTCACAGTCCAAGCCAGAAAGGAACCTGTAAATCTACCAGACTACCAACAAGGGCATGAAGTCAATGCTGCTTTGGTTACCTAACCTCCACATAGGTGAGTAGGCATATTTAAAATGATTGAGTTGATAGGACAAAGGCCATCCATCTCATCTGTTGTGACATGAAACTTCTTTGAATTGAATTTTCATGAGGCAATCAATAAAAGTCATCACATTGGTCGTCTTAATTTTCATTATGTAATTTGTTAGTCATAATGTATTAATGTCGTCTGCCATAGCTAATTATAGATTTCTCATCTTATGACCTATATCTATGTAATTGCAATTAGACATTTCCACCATCTGCTATACTAAAACAATATTTAAACTGAGACACTCACCTCATGGCCATCTTATCAGCCGTGTTCAATGATTAGTATAGCTTGTTAATATGATGTCCCGTACGGCCACAGCACATCATTAGAGACATCTTGAAGTACACTTGCTGTAACAGCTCAGTTTCAATCGGTACCTAACACCTGCACAAATGGGGCAACAGCTTGCCTTTCATTTTGGAGAAAAAAAACTAAATGCTAATGCTATAATAGATATTATGTGCTACATGGTTCTCGTGAGAGTCATATTCCCCTTGATTGAACACTATCACACAGCCAAAAAATGTTCCAAAATGCATATATGCATGTAAAAGTTAGACCAAAATGACATTAAAACTATTAGCAATACAATTTCTAACCCCTGCAGCAATTCATGAGCGACAAACCTACAAATATCCTGTTTGTCCTAAATTAGAATAGATAAAATCAATGTAAAATCAGTGGTTACATAAGATAGATGTACTAAAGAAGTAAAAGATATGCGCAAGTAATGCTATATGAAATCTTTTAAAATCAAGGACTCTGTTACGTAAGCAGTGACACTGCAGGGAATTTACATACACTTTGGTTTGGTTGATCATCTGCTTTAGAGTCAGTGAGCAATAAGTGGCGTTCCAGATAATGGACATGCATCGTTTGTCCTATTCTGTTAGACAAGAATTTTTACTAAGTAAATATAAATGTCTAACATACAAAGCTGGTCAGCTTAACAGCATTTCAGTTTAATTGGGTCTTAAACACTGTTTTAGGAGTAAACCATAGCGTTGCTATAAGTTCAAACACTTACATTTTGATAGTGCCAGTTTTTCATTCAGCTAGGCCCTTAACGCAACTACACCAAAACAACCAAGTACTTTTTTCATTCCTTTACCATTCCAGAGTTGCCGGCTGTCTTATTTTTTCAGTTAGGTGAAAGCAACTTAATTTTCCCACAACAAAACAAAATTATTCAGATTCTATATAATATATGCCTTCACTGATATATGATATTTTTCAGTTACTATTGTTTTCGTCTCTCCTTGACAATTCCAGAAAAATGCTAAACCTTTTTATAAGATGATAAAAATAACTGGTGTCTATGTATATCTTTTACTAGGTTGCTAGCTAGAATCAGGGGACAAACACATGTTACTTGTAAGTATGGCTATCATAAACTGTTAGGCGGTGGACCGGTGGTTGCTTGCTTTGCAACCTAGCTTCACTGATTGATTCAATACCACACAGAGATATGGTAATTAATTTGCAGAACACCATATTTTTCAAAACAGAATAAAATCAGTCAGCCAAGAAAAAAAGAGAAATAAGTGCAAAAATGGCAAGCTTTGTGCAAACGAGAAGCTGATGCACAGAAAATTGCAGAAAGTTGTAACAGGAACCTCCCACAAGCAAAGAACTATCAACAGGATAAGCTACACGTATTACCAAAAAAACGACTTCCCCTAAGAGCTAGCCAAATTCACTATAAAAACCATACACTGGCTGTAAAGTGGTGAGAATATCCCTGCCCAACTAGGTTTCTGCTAGAAAGAGCGCCTTGCAAAACGTCAAACATTCACAACTTGATGGCACATGCCGTCAACACAGCTGAGTTAATTAATTGCATAGCCAAGTATTGCCTGCACCTGAGACAAGAGCTAAAGAGCCAGTACTGTGATGATAAAGTACTCAAGAAATCTGAGAAGGGTTTGTTGTTTATTACATGACAGGGACAGTCACTAAGATAGATTTTGATGTTCCTTAACTTTTCTGATACTAACCCAAAAGCTTTTTAATCTAGCGGCCTCCTCCCACTCTGGGTAATATAATCTATGCACTTATGTAAATTTATTGACTGTCACAGGCAGCCACTTTACTAACTTGTTCATTATTATTCCATTACAAGAGGAAGAAGTCGAACTGGCTCTGATTATGTTGTCCAAGGAAGGATAAAGGAATAATCATAGTAACCTCACTGACCATCTTCTTCCATATGACTCTATCCTCAATAAATATATTATGCATCTTATTTTTTATTAGGATGACAGCAAGTTTGTTAGATTAAAAAATTTAAGTAATTATCTGGCTGCAGGGCTGAAAAGGGCGTCACGTTTGTTGTTGAACCATCAAATCATATAAAGGATAAATGAATGGAGAAAGTGTGGTTGTGATGCAACACTGTCAAGCATATGAAACAGCTAGGAAGGATACGGTAAAGTTCAAGAAATATGATATTGTTCACGTATAAGAGATCTTACCACCTTTAAAGCCCTCACAATTTCCACGAGGATGATCCATTCTTTGAAAAAAGGGTATTATCCTTGGATCACTCTGTTCTTAATTAAATAATTATGGAACACATATCATTAAAAATATTCTTCTCTATAAATTAAATGATGGAATAAGGGAATATTATTGAATCAACATGCTAACTTATGATTCCTACAGAGTAACATTTCATCCAGCAGCAGATCAGACAGCATGTCATCAAAGTGAACAAAAGATGCAAGCAGAGACATATAAGATATCTAAGCTTCTCCATAAAAACATGTTCATGTTCAACATGCATGTAATGTTCTATGGCATGTAAACATAATTATTCTGAAAATAGGTTTTGTGTGTTACTAGCTGTGTGTCTCCTCTCATGGATATTAATTCAACCGGTTAAGTAAATTCCAGACGATGTGATGAGAAGTGAATTTGATCCAATAAACAGGAATCCAAAGTTAGTATATTGCATCCTTAGTCAATGTAACTGGTTTCACCTTAGGAACACACGGTACACATTGATGAAATGCTATAATAGGCCTAGAGATCTACCATTTGCTCTTTCGGCACAAGATTGGAACCCCTTTTCATGGTCTCTGATAAACTGATGGCCCCTACTTGTGAAAAGTAAAAAGGGGGAAAGGACAGCCCCTTAACCAGTAAAGGTGTTTCTCCAACATGTAGGTCTATAGCTGATTATAAATAGAGCTTGCGGATTTCACTTCAGTAAACAAAGGCACTTGTGATACGATTTCAACAATACATGCCTGCAAATACAAAACCACGTCCTAGTGCACCATTCATACATATGAGCCAGATATGAAAGGAGAAGCTTTCATATTAATGTTATTAAGAAGAGAGGTGAACACGCGCGTAGACCGCTGATAGGGATCGAATGTGGGTGGGCATGCACGCAACCCAGCGCTCTGGCCATTTGCACTAGGCGCAGCTTCCCGTACATCCATATGTATGGATGAGAAGATTAAATATGGTTATTTATTGACTGGATTGAATAGATCAAGATTACAGTTCAATAAGGTATTTTCTATTTAATAAAACTTGTATATGGTCAATTTGGCCAAGAGTTGAAAAACCTGCAAGAGCATGAACGAACAAAAATTCAAGCTATCTCACTATCTCGATGTAGCAACACTGTATTGATTGACACAAGGAATAAATGGATAAGACGTAAACTCTAGTTGCAAACATATCAAACTGAATGAATGCTTGACTTCAGTACATCATTGGTCTAATCATACAGTTTAAGTCCCTATACAACTAGCAGAAGCCAAACGGAAGACGTTCTATTGCACATTTCATGGGCCCGATTATCTCACCGTGGCACCTAACAGGGACAGTTTCAACCTAATTTACACCACCAGTCAGCTTCTATCACTGCAAACATAACTAGCGATCTTCTAGTTGATTGACGTTAATTAATAAACGGGCATGTTTATCTAAAAAAAGGACATGTCTATGTAAAATAATATAGCACTATCAAGTCAAGAGACACTAGTGTCTACTCATAGGCTCATAGCTACCTTCAAATGTTCTTTTCATACAGAGATGAAAACTAAAAACCGAAATTCCACACACAAAATTTCTCCACCTCTCGTTCTATCTGACCTAATCCCAGATCACAGCCGTGTTAGCCACCTCAATAGCATCCCGCTCCCTAAACTCTATATATGATTCCTCACCCAATCGTGCACTACCGGTAACCGCCATTGTCGTCACGCGATGTGATCCGCAGATCTGCAGAGCAAACAGAGCAACAACGCCACCGATTCCCAACCCCCAACACTCCAACAACCACCAAACATGCCCCTCTCCCCGCATGAACCCGTCTCGATTAGTTCAACGAACTAGGGATTTCGAAGGAATCGCGCGAACCATACGATCCATCCAGGAGGGGGAAAAATTAAGGGCAAACCTCCGGATCGATACCTCTGACGCGCGCGCAGGAGAGGAATTCGGCTCGAGCAAATGCGTCGGATCGAGGAAACCCTAGGATCCGGGTCTCGAGTCTCCACCGCCTCCTCCGCCTCCGCCTCCGCCCCTTCGCAAGCCTCCGATCCCCACACTTGGGTGGGAAAATTTTGGCGGCACAGCGGAGCGGGGTGAGGCCGCCCGCGCTGGACCAGGAGGCTGGAAGCCGAGGAGACTGGAAGCCTGGAATCCTGGGCTTTTATAGGCCCATCAGGCCTTATTTCCGTCAGGCCTAGCGGCTGTTTCAGTTGGGAATTTAAGTCTATTATGACTCCCTAATTTTTTCCCCTTATTTAAACACCGACCTCAACTGCAAAAAGTATAATGCCTCTTCCTTCTTTAAAAACAGATACAAATCAGCTCCTGTTGAAAGCGGTTTCAACTGACGTGATGGTTTTACCACATAAAACCCACATGTCAACAACTTTCTCTTCATCTCATCTTCTTCCTCACCTCTCACCTCTCCCCTCTCTGTGCGTCAACCCGAGGCACAACGCGAAAACCCGCGGGTTATCACTTATTTGACATATAAGTGGGTTCGCGGGTTGGTTCGCTTGCATCCCTAGATAGTAGAACAGGTCGTCCACCGGATCCACGTACTATTGTTGCTGCCCTAGACAATGTCACATCCACGCCACAGCCACAGCACACCGCTTGGCGTGCTCGCCGCCTCCGCGCCTTGCAGAACCTCCATACCACCTGGTCTGCAATGGCGGTCTGGTTCAGGAACCCAACGTAGGACCTGTGGTTGGTCACCGCTAGGAGGGAGAAGTAGTTGTACCCGTTGGCTGCCGGATGCTGCGGCTCCGTCCTAATGGCCGCGACGGCCTTTTGAGGCATGCGCAGCGGCGCTGGTCCAACATGTTGCATAGCCGGATCAAGGTGTAGCCTCCCCTTCCTTCTCGGTGAACTAATGGAGCCACTAAAAGGGAGGGAGGCTGAAAGAGAAAGGGGAGAGGTGAGGAAGAAGACGAGATGAAGAGGAACTCACTGACACGTCGATCCCACATGCTGACTCATCGAGTCGACCATGATTAAATTGCCACCGTTTTCAACACCATCACGTGAGTTGATTTGCCCTGATTTTCGAAGATGGGGGAGGCTTTATATCTGGTTTTGTGGCTGAGTAAGGCGATTAAATCAGGAGCAAGAGTGAGGGAAAATAATAGACTTATTCCTTCCAAGTTGCTGTCAGGCCGAGGCCGCAGGCCCGCGAGGCTTCAACTGCTCCATTCTAATTGGGCCGGAGTGTGACAGCTAGTTTCGGCCCGATATTTACGGGCCTCCGTTAAAACCTAATTGGGTCGCTCAGGAGACAGTATACCTTCAACTTTTATTTACCGTCTTCTCTTTCTACTCCCAATTAAGGCATTATAAGTAATGACCTTGCACCCAAAAAAAATTATGGTTAACCTGTCAGTGATAAGCTTTCAAGCAATCTTCTCAATCTCGTTCTCACTGAATTTACTTCGACTCCTTTGCTGCAAAAATAACCGCAGATCAGATCATCAGAACCCGGTGTTTTTTTACATCGGGTATTTTCTGATTCAGTTTCACACTTGTTACTGCGTGCCAACGGCTAATGGGCTCTCGTGGAGACCGTGCCATGTGCCGGTAGCATTCGTTTTTTTTTTTCTTTTGTTCTTTCAAAAATGAGCCGCTCCAACGGCTAGTTCGCGAGCAGTCGATCGCACTAAAAATTCCATTGGCCCAACTGAAGCAAAACACATCGCCCCCAAATCCAATCCTCCCCCCACCATCGGACAGCGAGATGGTCATGGAGATCCCGAGCTCGAAGCGCGACATGGCGCGGGGAGCGGAGGACGACGGCGAGGAGGAGGAGGAGGAGGAGTACGACCGCGTGTTCTACGAGGACATCGAGGCGCCCAAGTTCGTCGACCTCACCGCCCCCGACGCCGCCCGCCCCTCCGACGACCCCTCCTGGTTCTGCCTCCGCATCGGTACGGCAACACACACACACACACACACACACATCGCTGCAAGATTTTCTTGAGATGAAATTGCTGAATTCTTGAGATGAATTGCAGGTTGTGACCAGAACCACGAGCATGTCGACCCGGAGGCGCTGCACAGGAGCTTCTTCATGCGGGTGCGCGCTGCTTCTTCCTGGTATGCGCGCGATTTCGTGGTAGGGGAGGTTGTAATCCTTGTGGTTTTTAATGGTGGCAGGTCATGGCAGCGAGGAGCCCCAACGTGCGGCTGCAGAAGGCGATCAGGAGGAGGAACCAGAGGTAGAATTTCCGATTCATCCCTCACTGCCTGCGTCGAAATTGTTGTGTGGTTGGTTGGTTCATCCGATTGACGTAGCCCATCCTCTCGTGATCTGGTGCAGCTCGATGCTGAAATGCCCGCACTCCGCGCCGCCGAAGCCTCCAAGGTCACGGATCGCGAGGCTAAGCACGGCGACGGAGGCCGCGGCGAAGCCCAGGCTGAAGACCCACCGGATTTGCACCCTGCGGGCGTCTCCGACCCGGACCAAGGCGGCGAAGGTGGAGGCCTCCGGCGCGAGGAAGAAAGCCCTGACGACGCCGAGGAGCAAGCCCGTCCGGCCGAGGCAGGATCCGTTCCTCAGCGTGAAGCACCAGAAGCAGGAGCCCGTCGCGGCGGCGGCGAGGAAGGGGACCGTCGCGAAAGCTCTGTTCATGGCCACGCCGAAGAAGGACGCCAGCAAGACGCCGGCGAAGGCCCAGGCGGCGCCGCCGCTGTCCGAGGTCTGCTCCAAGATGAGGAAGCTGAATTTGGCGTGCCGGGAGGTGCCTAGCAGATACCTCTGTCAGTCATCGAATCCGAAGAGTTCCAAGAAATGCGACCAGACTGCAGTGAAGAGTGTCAAGGCAGCTCAAAATTCCAGGCCGGATGAGAGGAAGAAGAAGAAGATTCTAGGCTGCTCGTTGCAACATGCCAGTTCTGAAGCTGGTAGAGAGAACAGAAATGGCCGTGAGAACACAGCTGCAGATGAGAATGCTTGTCCAGAAGCTGCGAGCTCCAGCGAGGAACCGAAGGAGGTGATGCAGGAATCCAGAATTGAGGTGGAGACATCACAAGCTGACAATTGTGATGACGATAAGGAGAATTTGTCATATGTTGATCAGCCAACCGAACAAATGGTGATCATCTCGCATTCTGATGGTGAAAACCTGCAGCAGCTGGAGAACAATGAGAATGTCCCTCGGAAGGTACTGAAATTGCCTTCTTCTTTGTTACTGTAGCTAAGACATGTTGAAACTGAAATGCTGTAATGGACAATATGCAGGTAGCCAAAATGCAGAGCAAACTGAACGCAGAGCAAGGAGGAAAGCTCAAGAAAACTACCAATCCGAAGCCATTTCGGCTAAGGACTGATGTGAGTTACTGGTTACATTGTGAAAGCTCGTTGTTGTGGAGTGTTTCACTCGTTCACTAACCTTCCTCACTCCATCTTCTGCATTTTAGGAAAGAGGAGTGTTGAAAGAAGCAAATCCAGAAAGACACCAGACGCTCACCGAGAACAACTCCACGGCCGCAGTTCAGGTAAGTTGCTCACGCGCACCAACTATAAGATTCCTAATGTAGTGGTCACCCACTGATCTGTATGCATGTACGCTGATGCAGCAAATAGGAAGGTGTCGTGACGGAAAGGGACGAGACAAACCGACGTGCGGCGAGAAACAGGTGAGCATTGATATCTCCCCCAAACATAATTTGCAGGTCCAAATCAATTTAGAAAGCACTCATGCTGAATTGCTGATCTGCGCAAACTGTATATCCAGAAGAAGCAAATCAGAAATGTTGCAACGGGTCAGGTTGATGAAGCCAAAAGGGTCTTGAACAGCATTCGTTGCAACAAGGTGAAGCCTGCGATGACGAATGGAAAAACAGTTGGGAAATCACAGGGAGCTTCCAGAGTAGCATCATCAACAAGAAGTACCAAGATAACAAGGTTTGCCCCCACAAAAAAAGAGTAAATTTGCAGCCCCGGTTATTGTTTTACAGAATTGCCATCATGTAATATTTTTCTTGCGTTTTCACAGTGGCTCCATGGCACCTTCTAAGGTTGGAAAAGAGAAGAGTACATCGGTGAAACTATCCAGGCTACAAGCAGCTGCTGCTTAACTGAAGTGACAAATGTTTTATTGTCAGCTCCAAGCATGAAAATATGTATTTACCGCGTCGAATTCGTTCCATTGTATTCTTGAACTACTCTCTAGTCTGCACACTCACTCACACCAACAAGGATGTATCATGTTCCCTTGTTTTGTCCGTGCCATTGGTATGTTGAGTGAAATTTTTTTCTCTGTACTACCATCATCATCTAGATTATTTTGTAACCTGAAAGAAAAATCAGGGAAGAAGAAGAGGCCCAACCCAGGAGAAAATTCAGATCGGCATCTGATTTCACATGGTTCTTGGTGTTGTAAATTCAAGCCCATTGGCCTTGGCTGAACAAAATACAGAATGGCAGGGACATAAATTTGAATCCAGAATGTCACGAGATGCCCAGCCGCCCAACCAATCCAAGCCAGGCAGCTGACCCTCTCTGCATCCATCCAAACGCAGAGACCGAAGTCGAACAGCGTCGCCATCTCGCCACACGGCCAGAGGCCGAGATAGATGCCATATGATATGCCATCCATAGACCACACGCAGAGACGCACTGCATATGCCTGCGTGTACAGAGCTGTTAGCTGTACTATGCAAGGGGCGCATCCCCTACGGATACGGCTGCCATCAACTCTGCCATTGAATCCATCCACACCATGATCAACTGGCTGTGCGACAGCGTGCGATCCGGTGAACAGTTTCCACGGATCTGCAACAGATCGATCGACGTTTATGTGTGCATCGCTCTGCCATCTGGTAATGTTTTCATTTCAGAGGTAAATAATGTTAGCACTAGGAAGCTTCAGCAGGGTCCATGGCCCAAATGGACCAAACCAAAATCTTCTCTTGCACCATACTCTCTCCATCCAAAAAAAAGATAAACCTTGGATTTCCGTGTCCAACTTTGACTGTCCGTCTTATATGAAATTTTTTTATAATTCGTATTTTCATTGTTGTTAGATGATAAAACACGATTAATATTTTATGCGTGACTTATCTTTTTAATTCTTTTCATAATTTTTTCAAATAAGATGGACGGTCAAATGTTAGGCACGGAAACCAGGGTTTGTCTTTTTTTTTTGGACAGAGCGATTATTTGATCACTTGATGCTTGTAGCATCGCACGAGCAGCACCCCCCCTCCCCCGGCAAAAAAAAAAGAAGAAAAGCACTAGTATTTGCACGACTCCACTTGCCCCTAAGAACGAACGAACGAATGTAAATCCTACATTTATAAGCATTTTTGGAAACTGGATCGGCAAATCCTTGAAATTAACGAGGTCACCACAGATAGCGAGACGGTACGTCGTCTACCACCGAAAGCACAATGCTGTTAAATCCAAAAAAATCTTCCATGGAAAATCGAACCAAGAACTTAAGGTGCTGCTGAGATTCTTGTAACCACTAGGTTACATGACCTTTCGCCACTCCACACAGATTTGAGACAAACGGCAAGAAGCTTCCTTTTTCTCGAGCTGCCCGGCGAGACATTCTTCCAAAAACGGCGGGGCCTCGAGATCGGAGAACCCAGTAAACAAAGTGCGTAAAAAGCGCTTTCCGTCTCAGTTAAACCGACGAACAGTCGATGTGGAAGCAATTAAGATTCGTGATTTATGCGTGGTAGGGTAGTGGACTAGTGGTGGTAGCCGTGCTAAAGCGCCGAGATTAATTTAGGAGGGGCGTACGTACTCTCGCTGCAACTTGCAGGACGTGGTGGGGTCAGGGGTGCCGGCCGCCGGAAATGGCGCAGAGATCACGGCGGCCGCCGGCGATGCGCGGCGCGTCCTTTACCTGATCTGGCACGCACGTGGACACGTGGTACGTGACAGGCAAGAGGTGCACGCACGCACGCACGCACCCGTACCATTCGTTTGTGCACATGTCGGTGTGTGTTTGTCCAGTGTGCGCAGACCTGCGAGCAGTACACTTTTGTATAGGCAAGCCTCTTTGAATCAGGCAAAGTTAATCTACTATTCTCTCTCTGTTTCAGGTATAAAACATTTTAATTTGATCAATATCAGTTTTAAGTTCTACTAAGTTTATAACAAATACAATAATATTTATAATGCTAAATTAGTTTCATCAAATCAATAATTAGATATATTTTTATAATACATTTGTTTTGAATTGAAAATATTTTTTTTTACAAACTTGGTCTAATTTAAAGCAATTTGATTTTAACTAGAGTTAAAACGTAACCTGAAACGGAGGGAGTAGTATCGTATAAACATTAACAATCACACTCTTTTTTTATTCACGCTATCGTAATGATCATCGTGGCTCGGGGGAAGTCGGGATGGTCCAGGCGAAGCAGAAAAAGGGAAAAAGAAGAGAAAAGCGATTAAATCCAGGTCACATGCGACTCCCCCGCGAGTTGAGGCATGAGATCGCGCGGACTGGGGGGCTCAACCGAGATCGATCGGAATTGCGATTCATCCCCCATCACCATCGCCGGTTTTTCCATCGATGTTTGCAACGCGATTTGCCTGATTGGCGCCGGGAGTTTGGTAGTCCTGACAAATGGCGTCAAGAACACACAAATCCTTGTGAGATTGCGAGAAACAGACAGACATGCCGCGTCTTTGTGGCCATGGATGGATGTCACGTTGACAGTTTTGACGCCGCCTTGCCGGCCCGACATGGCTGTGTGTTCGCCATTACTGTTAGCACGCGATTAATTAAGTATTAAATTTTTTTAAAAATGGATTAATTTTATTTTTTTTAAACAACTTCCGTATAGAAACTTTTACTTAAAAAAAACATACCGTTTAACAGTTTAAAAAATATGTACGCGGAAAACAAGCAAAAGGGGTGAAAAAAATGGGCATTCCAACACAGCCTTAGCCTAGCCAGCAGTGGCCAGCTAACCAAGCATACGGGCATTTCCGTTAGCCGCGGCCGCCGGAATACGTACGCCTAGTATTCGATTTCGGCGAACATCAAAATCGGCCGGCGCGCGGGCGGGCGCCAAAGGCTTTCGCGGCGGGCGGCGTCCGAAACCGGGTGGCTTCAGGCTAAACAGCTACTACTAGTAGCTCGCCGGCCGCTCGTTCTTAATTGAACGATGACAAGTCGACGTCGCAGAAAAGGGTCATCGATCGACTGCTGCTAGTAGTGCTGCCAGTGTACACGTACGTGCCGCTAGCTGTTAATGTCTGTGTACGTTCACGAGGAGAAATACGCGTATTAATTTGGTTTCATCGCTTTTCTGAAAAAAGGAATTGTACTAACCTTATAGCAAGGTCAATGGTGCAGCTAGCAGTAAGCTCTAAATTTTTGTCATGTCAAATAGCTAACTACTACAAGTTAACTATAAGCTGCCTTGGTTAAAGCATACATACATTAAATACTTGTATGGATACATCAGTTGTTGGACCCACATAACATATTTTTTATTGTCTCTCATAGCTGCACGCGAGCTATATGGTTTGGGGTATTGTGCAAGCGCCGGGGCTAAAACAAGCGCCTGGTTGTTTCATTCTTGCTGAATTTCTTTCCTTAATCTTAGATTAGGCTGATTAACAGGTTTTGGAGCCGACTTAATAGAGCTATTGTACCCACTCTTATGGGAAAAAAATCATCCTCATATCTTACAGATTTGGGGGCACCAGATGTACTTCACGGTTCACGAATGCTTCATGCCCTTCTCCTCCAACTCTGACAACATTCTTTTATTATCCGACACCAACAACACAACGAAACCACATTAAAGAATTTACGGATTAAAGTCATGCGCCGTGATGGAGGTAGTAGGGGGGTGAGGAGGAGAAAGATCAAGGGAAATCGTCGTGCTTAGAGGATGACCGTAGAATGAGGTGCAACAAGTGGGCATAAACAACGTTGTTGAAGTCGCGCAATCGGCAGCTAGCGGTGGGCCGGTGTTAGTGGCAGGGTAAAAAGAGCAACATGTTACAATGTGGCAGTTGGTGGTGGTGGATCCGGCAGTAGGGATCCGCCTCAACAGGTCACCCACTTGAGGTGTAGAGGGGGAGGGCGCGGGGAAGGAGGAGGGGAGGAAGCTGACCAGATAAACCTCACTGGCACCATCGACATCTTCCGGCCACCCAATGAGGTTGGGCGACATTGGTGAGGAGTCAAGCAGGGGCATCAAAGTGTTCAGAAAATGCGGTGCTCAAGAAAAATGAAAATGCTCAAGAAAAATGAAAAAAAGAGAGGGAAATTAGGTTTGAGTGTTTGCACGAATCTTACAATCATTGAACGAACCAAAATTATAAGATTTTAAAAGGTATTCTCTATCCAATGTGTAATAGACTGTAAAAAAAAAGAGATTTGCTCTGATCCAACAAAAAGTACCGGTATCAGATCGTTTCCGATCATTGGATTTAATATTGCCCATCATGCCCAGTTAGATCTAACGGTCCGAAACGATTTGGTACCGTAAGATACCGGTACCTCGAGGCACTTTTTGTTGGACCGGAGCAAATATATATTTTTTTAAAAAGTTTTCCTCTCCCAAAGCGTTTGCTCGTTTTACACCAACCTGACAATTGCCATCACTGGTATAAGAGCAAGTTTAATAGTACAGTTAATCGTGAGCGCTGAAAATTTAACACGTCATCTAACAGCTAATTAAACCACGCTAAATACAGTAACCGGCTATAGTGTTGCTTTACCCAACGTAAAGTTCTATTTTTCTATTGGCTGTTCACAGCTATCTCATCCCTTGCACAGGGCTGCGTTAGAGAAAGTTTATAGGCGCTCGCGCCTGAGCCGACGATAATATAGTCGTTCGCTTTTCTCTCTCCGCTCTTTCTCTCTCTGTCATTTATATTAAAAATCTGATGTAAGCATACTATCACTATTGTACTGGTCTAACACGGGTTGCGTACACATGCAAGTGTCCATGTGTTATCCGTAGTAGCCTACCTTGCTGCTGCTACCACTGCACCACACAGCTAGCCTGTATTGCTGACGCTTGCATAGTTGCACGGGTGTTAATGAACACCGTGCATGCGTACTCGTACCGATCGATCGATGGCGCCAACGCCGGCCACGCAACGCCAAGGCGATCTACAAACCTGCACGCGTACTAACAAACACGAGGACGACGTAGTACGTTACTACTCTCTCCATCCCAAATAAAACACAACCTAAACACCGATAAGATATTACATAGCACAACGAATCTGAATATGTTCGTGTCCAGATTCGTTATACTATTTAATGTCCCATAGATAAATCTAAACATGTTCATGTCCAGATTTATTGTACTATTTAATGTCCCATGGATGTCTAGGTTATTTTTTTAAGTTATTTTTTTTAAGGATGGAGGGAGTACG